TTGTACTGTGATCTATCTGTACCTGCACTTGCTTGTTTACCTTTATATATAATCCTGCATGTGAACTGGCCTTGTGGCCTTGAACTGGTGCTCAGAATGTGTGGTGACGTTGTGATCCACCCTGAGCTTGCTTTGCTTGACTGGTCTTGTGACCCCTTGTTCTCCCCCACTTTGCCTATAGGGGTGTGTCAGATATATATGACATAGTGTTTGTAGGCTCTAGTGGGGTAGACACGAAGGGGTACAAGTTTCTAGGGTTTCATATTTATAACACACACTTTCCTAGTTCATTCATTCCTCATTCTTCACACGAACGTCCCTCATGTCCCCTTTGGGTTTCTTAACCCCGAACCAGAAAGCATGGTCAAACGACCTCAACCTAGCTCGCCTTCTCTATATCAGTGCTGTTAACGGGAATGGAGTGCTGGCTCCGCCCTTGATTGGGCGACGCCGACGTACTGTTTGGATGAACGGGAGAAGCAGCCGACTGTACGCAGTGAGAGAGCTGCTCAACGGGTTTCATCGAGCTGCAGGGGATCACTGCGGTGTTGCCATTGACGGGGAGCTTGATGGCTGCAGGTGGCCTAGCGGGTCGTAGACGGGCCGTCGACTAGGAGGAGCAGCTGACAGTGCTGTCGACGGAGGGGTCCGTCAACCAGGGTGTTCCTCGACGGGAGCTGTGGTTGACGTTGGAGGCGTCGACCAGAGCACTGGGTGGTCGGCTAGGTCGATCAGGTAACTTGCTTGGCGAGTTTGGCGGAGGCACGCGAACGTCGTCAAGGTCGCGGTGACAAAGGTGACTTCGGGCTGGTATCCCAAAGTCGATATGGCTCGTCAAGCGCAGATTTCAACCGACAGGTGCACAACGGTGCAAGTCGGGCCAATCATCTGCTCGCATCTGCATACGTGCGCACTGCTTTCTTCTACGGGTGCAATGCTGCACAGCCGCTCTGCTGCAGTGTTTGCACGCCGTCAACATGTTATGTTGGCGGCCACATTTTTGCAATGCTGGCGCGGCTCCTCAACCCAACGCTGGCAGGCGGTCGACCAGGCTAGCTGCAGAGTTGCTAGGTGCCGGATGTAGTCATTCTTGTCATTATCATTGCTATCATCCTGTAATGCAATCTTTGGTAGTAGAAACTCTTGCAAAATTCTCCCGTGATTGTACAAGTGCAAAGGAACTAAGCAAAGTTAGACTCATTCCTAGAGTTCGTGCCAACACCCTATAGCCTAGCTCACGACAATTGTTGAGTGAATCTCCGCATGGTGCGATGAGCATGGACGGCCCCACATATTACCTTCAAATAGGAGCCGACTTTTGCATCTACTAAGTCGTTCGTATGCCGGCACCCGCGTTAGTCACCATGGTCGACCCCATAGTTGGAGTGGGCGTAGCGGACACCTCGGAGGCACGGTTGGCTGATGCGAGGAAACTCCACGAGGATGGCTAGTACGGGACGATTTCCTCGGAAATCGTCGAGTGGGGCATCCGGGCGCAGTGGGCGATGGAGCACCCTTTCCGTCCTGCATCTCCTTGACCGGTGCGAAACAAACGTGGCGTCGATGAGGAGGTCGACAGTGGTGCACGACTCAGCGGCAGAAGGCATGAAGAGGAGAGGTGTGATCAAGGTTGATGGTGGTGTCGACGGGAGTCAGGCATGAGTGCAGCGGTCGATGGAAGCTGCAGGCAGCTCGTGTGCCGGCGTTGATGGACAATGTCGCTCTCCTCTACAAAGTGGTGGAGGGCTCTACGCGACGACGCACGTGACGGCGGGCAGGATCGTGCCGGCGTATTGCTACTTTAAGTTTTCGCTGGCGGGCTAGATGCTGGTCGCCAAGGGTGGCAATTCATCCTGTCAACGTACCTGGGAAAGGACGACTTGTACATCGCGCAGCTGGAGGAGCATATGACACACTTTTGGATGGGCGAGCAGGAGTCGGCAACGTAGTACTGCAACCGTGCTCGACGGATTCTGGCTGAGATGCCGATGGCGGGTGTCGAATACTCAACGGCGTCCTACATCACCCACGTCATCAAGGGCCTGCCGCACAGCTACAACCTCATGAAGAGGATGATGATGATGCCCAGCACACGTGAGTCCCTCGACAAGGACTCCCTCACGATCTACGTTATTTTAGGATGAGGTGCCGCAGGAGGCAGAACTGCCCACAGAGCTCCTTCCGCAAGCGAGCTATGCCGCCCCGACAAAGCAGAGTTGATAGCAAGGGCAGCATGGGAAACCGAACGGATGTGGTAGCGGAGGTGGGCAGTCGACGAAGGACGTCGACGAGAAGATGTCGACGCGGGATAATGGCCGAGGAGGAGGTGGTCGACGGCGGGAGCGCTGGATCTGCGATGACCCAGACAATCTCTCGTTCGAGTGTCCCGACCGCGATAACAGCGACAAGGATGACAGCAAGTCGGCCGATGTTGTACTTGGTCTGCGAACAGTGGGAACCTCGCCATTAAGGTGTCCATTGGTGGGTGTGCCTGCGTCCGCCCAGACGCTAGCCCATACTTCACCTTACACACCTCTAGCGACAACGTCTCGTAGAAGATCACTTCGACCGATGTGACCACCTTGTTGTTGGTCAAGTCCAGCACCTCCCAGCCCTTGCTCTCCTACGACACGCCCAAATAAAATCCCCAGAGAGCCTTTGGCGCCAGTTAGGTCTCAGAGGATCCAGCAAAGGTTCGCTACGCCGTGTCGCTGCTGCGATGACCCGCCATGGATTGGTGGCGCGTCATCGTCACGAAGCTGACGGAATACTAGACTCTACCAACACGAGAACGGTAAACAAGACCCTGGGCACTGTCGTATTTCGTGGAAATGCCCCTGTATCGCACATGGGATGCATGGTGCGCAGGTCTATATGCAAGATTTGAGCCAAACGCGGCTTCAATCGCAGCGAGTCAGAGGCTCCGCACTTGGCGCCAGCTCGGTTCCCTCCAGGACTACACCCGTGGGTTCCTAGCGTTGTACGGCCAGGTGGGATACATATGTGAGAAAGAGCGAATCGACCGCTACATTGGCGGCCTGAAACACGACATCGCTCAACAAATTCAGCTACGCAAAGTCACCGAACTCATTGAGATTTTTGCTATGGTGGAGAAACTCGATTTTCTATGCCGACCGAGAACGGGGTCCTATAGCAACAGCAATAGCAAGGGACATCGACCTCGTGGGACGAACGAGCACGCTGCGATACGCGCTATCGCTGCGAATGCCGCTGCCACACCTTTTAAAGGGCACGGCTTTGCATGCAAAAGGCCGGGACACCGCAAAAGTGAATGCACGGAAAACACTTAGGGAAAGTGGGAAGATGAGCAGCAAAAACAGACCAAGGAGAAAGGAAACGCTGGGAGTCTATAACAGATGGGCCCTCTATTGATAGGTCACGCCGTTCTCTCGACCCAACCGATCCTCACCGAGTGATTGTGCCGGTTCACGCAGTCGACCACACCCGGCCGAACAAGGAGGGTACCGCAGTAGATAGCCCCATAATGTGGTAGTTAAAATCTTCGTAGACGGGGGAGCCAGCCATCAACATTGCCACATCACGGAAACTGAAACCGCCACTGGACAGGTGCTTACCTGAGATTGACGCAAGTCTTGTCGACAGCACACCGGTGGCAATACGGGAACTCGTGGACCGAGTTCGGATTCAATCTGTGGATAACTTCACGTTTAGCAAGGAAATGCTCGCAACGACCCTCAACGAAACCGACATTTTTCTCGGTCGTAATTGGCTGCGATGACACAACCCGCAAATTGACTGGATGACTGATGACTTCACTGTGTGAGTGAACGGTAACAACATCGCCTTACCTCGCTGGGGCTCGACTGAGTCTTCGTCGCTGCGTGTCAACGCGATCATGATGAAACGCGCCGTAGTGGTAGGAGCTGACATATATGCGGTTGACATTTAAGAAGCCGAGGCAGCAGATAAGGGAAGTGACTTACAGTAGAAACTGCTCCCCGACGTACCGAATGATTTGCCAAAGGGCTGCCACCTCAGCGACCGCAAGACCACAAGATAGAACTAGAACCAGGGGCACAGCCGATAGTACAGCGACAATTTCGACTGACCCAACACGAACTAGACGAACTGATGAAGCACCTGGATTACCTACTCGAGAAAGAAATCATTCGCCCGAGTTCGTCAGCCTTCGCAGCACCGATACTGGTCACACCAAAAAAAGACAGGGGATTTTGCATGTGCATCAACTACTGCGCACTGAAGCGAGAAACCATCAAAATTCGTTACCCCATGAGGCGAGTCGGAGAACTGATCGACCAGCTGCGCACATTTTAGGTTTTTTTTTGAAGATTGGTCTGCGAGAAGGTTACTGTGAGAATTAGAACGAGAAGGATGATTGAACAATGAAACAGTTGGGTACAAGTACTAACCCTAATTGGGCTGTACCCCTTACAGGCTACCCCACTACAGCCTACACAGAAGTATAAGCTATAATGTTCTGACACACCCCCATAGGCAAAGTGGGGGAGAACTAGTGGTCACAAGACCAGTCAAGCAAAGCAAAGCAAGCTCAGGGTGGATCACAAAGTCACCACACAGTCCGAGCACAAGAGTAAGGCCACAAGGCCAGTTCACATACAAGATCATATATATAAAGGTAAACAAGCAAATGCAGGTGTAGAAAGAGTACAGTACAAACAAGATCAAGAAGTGAGCAAGTGAGGCCAAGTAGGCATAAGACCTGGCATAGCACAGAAGCGCTGATGATCACAAGGCGGAAGGGCCTTGGTAAAGATATCAGCAGTGTTGGCCTCGGAGGCCACGTAGGTGAGGCGGAGCTGACCACGCTGCTGCAGCTCACGAGCCAGGAAGTAGCGAGGAGCAATGTGCTTCGTTCTGTGCTACAGTCTGTGCTCCCGACACAAGGCCAGCATGGCCTTGTTGTCTACGTACAGAACTGGAGGAGAACGAGGTGGCTCTCCTAGGTCACTCAGCATGTAGGTGAGCCAGCGTAGCTCCTATGCAGCCATGGCCCCTGCGTAGATCTCAGCCTCACAGCTGGAGCTGAGAACAGAAGACGAGCGGGTAGATCGCCACGAAACAGAGCCGGAACCAAGGCTGAAGGTGTAACCCTGTGACGATCGCTGCAGAGCCTGGTCGTCAGCCCAAGAAGCGTCTGCGTGACCTGTGAGGACCACTCGACGTCGCCCTCCAAGCACTAGCCCCATGCCCGACGTACTGCACACGTAGCGCAACGCCCTCTTCGCTGTAGCCATGTGCTCTGGTCGGTGTCTCCCAGGAGCAACATAGCGTGCCAAGATGCTAAGAGGGTATGCAAGGTCAGGTCGTGTGCAGGTCATCAGGTACATGAGGCAGCCAACAAGCTCTAGGTACGGGCCACTCGACTCTACGGACTCATCCGAAGGCAGAGCTGAGAGCGAGTGGCGAGTAGACAGAGGAGTGGCCTGAGGCGAGGAGTACGTGAAGACGAAGCGCTGAAGGACTTGCTGCACCATGTGTGACTGAGTCAGGGTAATGGTGCGCTGTGCTCTGTCCCAGGTGATCTGCAAGCCAAGGTAGCAGCGCAGTTCACCCAGGTCTGTGCACGTGTGTCTCTTCTGCAGCTCGGACTTCACGTGGGCGAGTCCAGCAGTGTCACCAGTGGCAAAGACCAAGTCATAGACGTACACGAGGATGTAGAACGGCGGCAAAGAGGTGTCGGTGCGCAGAAACAGCGAAGGGTCGGCTGTAGAAGGAGCAAACCCAAGAGCCAAAAGTGTAGTACTCGGTGTGTCGTGCCACTCACGGGGCGCCTGGCGGAGACCGTAGACTGGGCGCCGGAGGCTCCACTGGGTACCAGGAGGAAACAACCCAGTGAAGCCAGGTGGGCAGCGCAGCCAGATCTCCTCGTGCAGGCTGCCCTTCAAGAAAGCTGTGCTGAAGTCAAGAGAGTGAAGCTCTTAGTCACGCTGAGCGGCTATGTGCAGCAGCACCCAAAGAGTGGTCATCTTCGGGGTGGGAGAGAAGGTCTGAAAGTAGTCAACTCCCTGCCGCTGACTGAAGCCTCGAGCCACGTAACGCGCCTTGAAGATAGGCGGAGAACCCGGCGGCCGCTTCACCCTAAAGATCCACATGCCACTGACGATGTTCGCCCCAGGAGGGGGGACAGCGTCAACATAGGTGCCTGTGGACTTCCAAGAAGCCATCTCTGCATCCATAGCTGCCTGCCACGGAGAGGAGTAGGGACCCTCTATCGCCTCCGCGTAAGAGCGCGGAGTCGGGATGTCAAGTGCATCCGGGTCTCCCTCAGGGGTAAGTAGTACGGACACGAGATGAGGTGAAGCAGCTGCCAGACACTAGAACTCCTCCTGCCTGTCCTCAAGGACGTCCGTGCCAAGAGGAGACTCACCCCCGACGGACAAAGGACAGACAGACTCAGACTCAGCGACAAGACTAGCAGCGTAGTCTAAGCGACAGCGAGCAGCAAAGTCGACGAGCTCAACAACCAGAGCAGACGCAGCAGTAGACTCAAAAGAAGGGTCAGTGACAACAGTAGCACGGAGACGCGTGACAGTAGGACTGGCAGCACGAAGAGAGTCCGACTCCGGGTCGGGAAGAGCACGAAGCGAGGACTCAAGAGGAGAAGGCAAAGGGGCACGCAGAGGAGCAGTGGACGGACGCAGAGACATCCGGTGCGTGCTAGGGACAGGAGGAGGACGCTGACGCGAACTGCCACCACTAGTGCGAGTAGCACGGACAGGCGACGCAGGGCGGGACGCAGGCTCACGACGCTCAGCAAGACCTCCAGTAGGACCAGTGTAGGGAGAAGGAGCAGGCAAAGGGGAGGAAGGCTACAACTGTAACTGTGACGGGACAGGCTGTGTACACTCTAAGGGAGGAGGAGGACCAGTAGAAGGTGGAAGACCAAGAACCTGCTGCAGGAGTGGAACAAAGTACGGTCGAGGCCGCGTGGCGACGCCTGAAGCAGCAGGGACAGCACCAGTACCTGCAGCAGGAGCACCCACTCTAGCAGCACCTCCAGTAGCTCTAGAACCTCCAGCAGCACCAGGAGCACCCCCAGCAGGACCGCCATCGGTAGTCTCAGCGCCAACACCCTCAGTAGCACAACCTCCAGTCGAACCCGCAGGCCCAGCAACTCCGGTACTCCCAGTACGAGCACCTCCGGGACCCGCGACTGCAGCACCCTCAGCAGCCGAAGAACCTCCAGCACCAGCAGTACGGCGCCAGTGCCGCGCAAACCACTCGCGCAGCTCCTGTGGAGAGAGTGGCTCCCGGCGAGACAAAGCACCCGGAGAACCTCCACGCGGAGCACCTCCACGCTCAGCACCCCCAGGCGTAGCACCCCCAGGCTCAGCACCCCCAGGCTCAGCACCCCCAGGCTCAGCACCCCCAGGCTCAGCACCCCCAGGCTCAGCACCCCCAGGCTCAGCACCCCCAGACGCAGCAACCCCAGGCTCAGCACCCCCAGGCTCAGCACCCCCAGGTCCAGCACCCCCAGCAGCACCAGAGTCACCAGTGACCTCGACAGGCTCGACTGCGTCTACCTGGGACACACCTAAAGGGGCAGGACTTTGAGGGAGAAGGGGGTCTACCTAGGGGGGACCTGGTACAAGGAAGAGTGGGGGTGGGGGGAGGGACGGAGTGCGGTAGGGGAAGAGGCGGTAGTAGGGGACCGACTCGTCAAACGTAATGTCCTGGGAGGACAGAACACGTCGAGAGGTGGGGTGGTAGAACTGCCACCCAGGCGCGTCAGGGGGGAACCCAGGAAGACGCAAGGAGCAGCACGAGGGGACAGCTTGTCCGCATACAAGTCACGGACAAACGCCCGAGATCCCCAGACCCGGAACGTCGACGCATCGCCAACCTTCCCCGTCAACAGCAGGGCTGGGGAGGTCTCCGGCCTGGAGACCCTGGGGTGGAGGTTGATCTGATGCGCCGCGTACCTCACCGCAAACGGCCACAGAAAATGGGGGGCAGCCGCATGCATCATGGACGTACGAGCGACGTCCATGACCATGCCAATGCGGCGCTCAGCAATCCCATTTTGCTGCGGGGAGTCTGGAAGCGTGAAGGTCTGACGGATGCCTCATGTGCGATAGTTGGCTCTCAGAAGGTTAGAGGAAAACTCTCCGCCTCTGTCGGAGTGCAGACGCAGAACAGAAAAGTCCGAGCCAAAGCTCTGCCTGAGCTGGAGACGAGCTGCGCGGATCCAGTCGATCAGCACCGCAGTGACATCACCCTTGCTGCGCAAGGGGAAGACTGCGGTGTAACGCGAGTAGTCGTCAACAACGAGCAGGAAGTAGCGCTCGTGACCCTGTCCACGGACGCGGGCTGGGCCCCACACGTCCATGTGAAGTGTCTGCAACGGGGCCTCTGTCGGAGGAAACTGGGAGGAGTGAGGGGCAGCACGCTGGCGCCCCTCGACACAGGGGACACAGGCAGGGCCAGGGCCCTGAGGAAGGGGAGGGAGGGACCGGGGGAGACCAGAAACAAGAAGACGGGAGGCCATGCCTCTGAGCCGAAGCAGAGAGGGGTGGCCAAGGCGGTGGTGCCAGAGAAGAGTCTCGTGAGACAGGAGACGACACAATCCGGGGGCAGACTCAGGACCAGACCTGGACGCCGCAGCAAACACCTGACCCGACGCAGCTACCCTACCAGACTCAGCAACTGGAGGAGACGCAGTGGTCAGAGTGTACAGGCTCGACCCCGGCTGACGGGTGAACGTAGCCAGGTGTCGGCCTGTGCTAGCCTCTGTGCAGTGTGTCACTCGCTGACGCGCAGGAGTGAACTGCTAGACACCTGCATCCTGTAGGTCAGCACCACTCACCAGGTTCGTCGAGAACGAGGGGAGGTAGAGACCAGACAGGGTGCCAGAGGGAGCCGCCGGACACGGGAGGATTGTGGAGAAGCGAGACAGTACAGGACCCCCGGAGGGGTCAGCCAGAGACACCGCAACCGGCCGACTGAGCGGCGTGAGTGTGGTGCGGTCCCGAAACAAGGAGCGAGACGCTCCAGAGTCAAGGGTGAAGGCGAGGGAGGCCGAAGCCGACGTAGTACCTGAGAGTGCAGACTCACCAGTACCTGAGGACGCAGATACACTAGCACCTAGAGCAGCAGCGTCGCAAGCACCTAGGGCAGCAGCCGCACCAGTACCTAGAGCAGCAGACTCAATGCCCGGATCAGGTGGGAAACACCGGTAACAGTCACCCTCATCACTAAAAGACACAGCATACATGGCAGAGAGAATAGCATCAAAGTCAAGATCAAAGATGGAAACACCCGCCCTAGACAGCTCGCCCCAGCGAGGGATCTCTGAGGCCTCCGGGAACTGCTGACGCCACGCGTCCGTCAGGCGGCCAAAGCAGCGCTGGGTGGGGTGCGCACCCCCACACTGCTCACCCGCACGGTCGCCGGTGCGCAGAACGTAGGTGCACGGACCAAAACCCCCACCCCGCGAGCGTGCAGTGCACCACTCACGGAGCTGCTGAGGGGATAGTGTCTCACGACCGTGCTGCTGCTGCTGGCGTGAGCCACCACCGGAGCCACTCCTCTGCGCAGACCCGCGACCAGCTCCACCGCCACCCCCACCGCCTCCACCGCCTCCGCTGCCTCCACTATTGCCGCCGCCTCCGCCGCCGCCTCCACCGCCGCCTCCTCCGCCACCTCTGCTCCCACCGCCACCGCCGCCGCCGCCTCCGCCTCCGCCTCCACTGCCGCCACCGACCCCCCCACCCCCACCTCCACTCCCACCGCCACCCCCACTCCCCCCACCGCCTCCACCTCCACCGCCACCGCCCGCTCCTCCAGCTCCCTTGCCCCCCTTGCCCTTGCCAGGGCGGCGTCTCCCGCTAGGGGCAGACGCCGCACCGACCGACTCAAGACCAAAGAGGTCGGCCGCAGCAGCAGAGGCAACAGAGGGCAGTAGGGAGGAGGGAGAACACCCCTCAAAGATGGGGGTGCGCAGGTCACCTCGAGAGGCTCCTACAGCGACTATGCTCTTCTCTATCGCGAGGAGGGCCTTCTCGAGGAGGTCGACAGTGAGTGTGGTGGGACAAACTGAGAGAAAGTGGTCCCCGACTACTCGAAGGGAGTCAGGGAGGCGAGTGACTAGGAAGTACAGAGTGATGTACATGGGGGGGGGGGGGGGGGTTCGCGGCGCAGAAGTCAGCAGGGAGTGCAGCGCGGTAGCGAGTGTCACTAGTGCGGAGGTGCGTAATGAGGTCAGCTACGGTGGGAAAGGCAGCAAGGTCAGGGAAGAGGTACGGTAGCATGAGACGGCTCAGTGCAGCAGTGGCAGGGGAGGAGTAGCGCGCGACTACAGCGTCGTACAAGGTCTGAGCACTCTTGTACTGACTAAAGTGCGCACGCTCGGAGGTAGCGAGGTGGCGACGCACAGCAAGACGTGCAGCAGCGTCGCGCGTGGCCCACTGGGAGCGAACAGTGGCGTCAGCATCAGCAGCAGGGGCAGGGGAAGCGCCAGAGGTAAGGTCAAAGAGAGAGAGGCCGTCTGCCCTATCGCACTGTAAGAACAGCTGCAGGTCGTCTACCCAGACCTCAAAGTCAATGGCCCGACCCTCAGCGTCAAAAGTGAGGACACTAGGGGTAGCCATGACGACAGACAACGAGCAGTGCAAACAGTAGGGTGAGGGCAGTGCAGGAGAAACGGCGCTGTGCTCACCAGACTGGGCAGCTCGGGCGGTCCGGAAGGAGGGCAGAACTGCGGCTCAGCGGCTCGGCTGCTGGGCGGCTCGGCGGCTCGGCTGCTGGGCCGCTCGGCGGCTCGGCTGCTGGGCGGCTCGGCGGCTCGGCTGCTGGGCGGCTCGGCGGCAGGGCGGCTTGGCGGCTGGGCGGCTCGGCGGCAGGGCGGCTCGGCTGCAGGGCGGCTCGGCGGCTCGGCGGCTCGGCTGCTGGGTGGCTCGGCGGCTCTGCTGCTGGGCGGCTCTTGTTCAGGGCGGCGCGGCGGCCGGGCGGCTCGGTGGTTCTGCCGCTGGGCGGCTCTGCGGCGCTGGTTCAGGGCGGCGCGGCGGTCGTAGGTAGGGCGGCGGGTGAGCCGCAAGTAGGGCGGCGGGTGGGCCGCAGGTAGGGCGGCGGGTGGGCCGCAAGTAGGGTGGCGGGTGGGCCGCAAGTAGGGCGGCGGGTGGCCCGCAGGTAGGGCGGCGGGTGGGCTGCAGGTAGGGCGGCGGGTGGGCCGCAGGTAGGGCGGCGGGTGGGCCGCAGGTAGGTCGGCGGGTAGGCCGTAAGTAGGGCGGCGATAGGGCCGCAGGTAGGGCGGCGGTAGGGCCGCAGGTAGGGCGACGGTAGGGCCGTAGGTAGGGCGGCGGGAAGGCCGCAGGTAGGGCGGCGGTAGGGCCGAAGGTAGGGCGGCGGTACGGCCGCAGGTAGGGCGGCGAGTAGGGCCGAAGGTAAGGGCGGCATGCGACGCCGCTAGGGAGGCGCCGGGCCGTGCGGCGACAGGCCGGGACAGGCGGCGCGGGGCCGGGACGGGCGGTGCGAGGGCGGCGTCGGGCCGAGACGGGCGGCGCGAGGGCGCCGACGGGCCGGGAAGGGCGGCGCGAGCCGCCGCGAAGGGGCGGCGCGAGCCGCAGCAAAGGGCGGCGGGGCCGCGGATAGGGCGTGGGGAGGCCCCTAGGGCAGCTCGACGACGGAAGAGCCCGAAGCGCGACTCGGGCTGAGCGCGCTTCGGGCAGGAAAAAAAATATATCGATGTGGTGGGCCCTAGGCACAGTTCCCACGGGGGAACTTGCTCGATACCATGAGGAAATTAGAACGAGGATGAATGAACTATGAAATGAGTGAGTACAAGTACTAACCCTAATTGGGTTGTACCCCCTATGGGATACCCCACTATAGCCTACACAAATGTATAAGCTATATTATGTTCTGACAAGCACCAACGGGACATCGAAGTTTTTTTTTCAGTTTTTTTTTCAAGTGTGAGTTCTACAAGATAGATTGGAGTTTTTTTGATACATTATTTCAGCCGATAGAGTGGAAGCAGACCTGAAGAAGATCGCGACGATTCAAGCATGGCACACGCCGACAAATCTGACAGAGTTGCAGAGGTTTTTTATATTTGTCAACTATGTATGCCGGTTTGTCCCCGATATGGTGAAGCTGACCGCCCCATTGACTGGCCTACTGAGAAAGGGGGTTGGGTACATGTGGGGGGAGAAAGAGCAAGCTGCCTTCTCGACCGTCAAGAAAATTTTGTGCTTACCGCCCGTACTGCACATCGCTGATCCAGACCTCCCGTTCAAACTGGTCACCGACGCAAGCGACATCGCCGTGGAAGCAGTATTATTGCAGGACTTCAGGACAGCCTTAAGCCAATCGCATACGATGCCCGCAAGATTTCGCCCAAACGCAACTACCCGATACACGACCGCGAGATGCTGGCGATCGTGCACTCGTTCAAAGTGTGGCGATGCTACCTCATCGGAGCATACGTGACAATACAGACATATCACAAATTATTACAATACATTCACGCCCAATCAAATCTCAATCCACGACACATCCGCTGGTTGGACTACTTAGAGTCCAACTTCCACTACACCGTCACGTACAAAGAGGGGGCATGGAATATTGCCGAGCACTTACCCGCCCCACTGCCCAAATTCACGCCATCCTACTCGCCCAAACCAACCCACTGTTAACAGGCCTATTCACCCACGGTTACCGCACCGGCCCATATTTCACAACCGAAAATTCACAGCAACTAACCAAAACAAAGGGAGTCTAGTACGTAAAAATAGGCACCAACCGCATCTGGGTACCCGCGTACTCACTACTGAGGGAACTACTACAGCACGAGGCACACGACGGGGTTACCTCTGGTCACTTTGAGGTAGAAAAAATGCGATAGCAACTACTACTGCCGGAGTTGTTGACCGACATACAGCACCACGCAGACTTGTGTCCAACGTGTCAGGTGATGAAGAGTTAGCGAAAACGAAAGGCGGGTCAATTGTAGCCGATTCCACCGCCCAAGCGCGCCCAGCACCATGGATTTTGTCATGGGGTTACCTTCGGACCCTAGGGGTAACGACGCGGTTATAGTCGTCGTTGACAGACTAGCAAAAATGGCTCACTTCGCTGCGTGCAGGAAATCGATATTTGCCGAAGAAACCGCTCGCATGTTCATCGCGTCCGTCGTTCGATTGCACGGGATACCAGTCGCGATAATCAGCGACCGCGACACAAAGTTTACCAGCAACTTCTGGAAAAGCCGTTGAGAGCAGTTTGGGACCAGGCTATAGCTTAGCATATCGTACCACCCCGAACCCAACGGTTAAACGGAGCGGACAAACCAGGCCATGGAGCAGCTGATTCGTGTCACGTGCAACGATCAGACAATATGGGAGCACCAGCTGCCACTAATTGAGTTCGCCTACAACAACCCCATATCAGCGACGGCGCAGCAGTCAATGTTTTACTTGAACTACGGGCAAAATCCAACAGTGTCCATCATGCCGAATCCAGACAACCCAACGCTACACGCACAGCAAATTGCCGAGATTCTGCAAGCTGCTCGCACCAGAGCCACTCAAGCAATAGAAAAAACAAATGTCATTGCTAAAAGAAATTTTGACCGCCACCACTGCCCAGTCACGTGTCAGAATGAACAAGAGTGATTGAACTAGGAAAGGGTTGGGTACAAGTAGGAAACCCTAAACTTATTGTACCCCATAGTAACTACCCCACTACAGCCTAAACAGACTGTAGCAGATATGACATTTGACACACCCCCATAGGCAAAGTGGGGGAGAGCAAGGGGTCACAAGACCAGTCAAGAAAGGCAAAGCAAGCTCAAGGTGGATCACAACGTCACCACACACACTGAGCACAAGCAAAGGGCCACAAGGCCAGTTCACATGCAGAGGCATATATGCAACACAAACATCACAGTGATCTCTACCTAGCAAAGCAAGCATGCAGGTATATATATATAGATCACAGTCCAAGCAAAGCCTACAGTGAGGAAAAGTGGGAACAAGCCCTAGCATAGTGCAGAAATGCTGATGACCACCAGACTGAAGTGCCTTGGTGAATATATCAGCGGTGTTGGCCCAAGTGGCCACGTAACGCAGATGAAGCTGACCACGCTGCTGCAACTCTCGAGCCAGAAAGTAACGTAGAGCGATGTGCTTCGTTCTGTGCTCCAGTCTGTGCTCCTCACACAAGGCAATGGCAGCCTTGTTGTCGACATACAGAACTAGAGGAGAACGAGGCCGCTCTCCTAGGTCGGTCAGCAGGTAGGTGAGCCAGCGTAACCCTTGTGCAGCCATGACTGTGGCGTAGATCTCAGCCTCACAACTGGAGCTGAGAACTGAAGACGAGCGTGTAGAACGCCAAGAAACTGAACCAGAGCCAAGGCTGAAGGTGTAACCCTGTGATGACCGCTGAGTAGCCTGGTCGTCAACCCAACAAGTGTCTGAGTGCCCAGTGAGGACAATTGAGCTCCTCCCTCCAAACACGAGTCCCATGCCTGATGTACTGCACAAGTAGCGCAGTACCCTCTTAGCAGCATCCATGTGCACCTTTCGTTGCTGACCAAGAGCCACGTAGCAAGCCAGAACGCCAAGAGGGAACGCGAGGTCAGGACGAGTGCAAGTAATCAGGTACATGAAACAGCCAGCTAGCTCTGGGTAAGGACCACTCAGCTCTACGGACTCGTCCGAAGGTGGAGCTGAGAGCGAGTGACTTGTAGCCAGAGGAGTGACCTGTGCCGAGGACCAGGTAAAGCCGAAGCGCTAAAGGACTTGCTGCACCATGTGTGACTGAGTCAGTGTGATGGTGCGGCGTGCTCTGTCCCGGGTGATCAGCAAGCCAAGGTAGTTGCGCAGTTCACCCAGGTCTGTGCACGTGTGTCTCTTCTGCAGCTCCGACTTCACCAGGGCGAGAGCCTCAGTGTCAACAGTGGCAAAGACCAAGTCGTCGACGTACACGAGGATGTAGAACAGCGGCAACGAAGTGTCGGTGCGCAGAAACAACGACGGGTTAGCAGTAGAAGGCGCAAACCCAAGAGCCGCAAGTGTAGTCCTCAGTGTGTCGTGCCACTCACGTGGCGCCTGGCGGAGACCGTAGACTAGGTACCAGGAGGGAACGACCCAGTGAAGCTAGGAGGGCGGCGCAGCCAAATCTCCTCGTGCAGGCTCCCCTGCAAGAAAGCTGTGTTGAAGTCAAGAGAGTGAAGCTCGTAGTCACGCTGAGCGGCAACGTGCAGTAGCACCCGAAGAGTGGTCATCTTCAAGGTGGGGGAGAAGGTCTGGAAGAATTATAATAGTGCCAACTCCAGTAGCCGTAGCACCTTTTACTCCTGTAGCACCACCAGCAGCTCCAATAGTGCCAACTCCAGTACCCCCAGTAGCACCAGCTCCAGCCGCACCGTCGGCTCCAGCACCTGTAGGAGGACGAGCGTCAGCACCTCAACCTCTAGCCCCTGCAGCACCAACTCCAGGAGGCCCAGCGGCCTCAGCTCCACCGGCAGCTCCAGCACCTCCAGCACCTCCAGCTCCAACTCCAGCACCAGCAGCACCTCCAGCAACTCCAGCACCAGCAGTACCTCCAACAACTCCAGCACCAGCACCACCTCTAGGAGCACCAGCTC